TCCTAGTCAGGTGTACCATTACATCCCGGTCGACCTTGTTTCTTTTTGCATAGTTAGTAGATATTCGGTAAACCCGATCTATTTGGTTCTCCATTTCCGCCCTCGGATTACAGGATGTCTGGAGAACACTCAATAAGAATGAAAGAGACTACACCTTCTACTCAGAGAGACATAAAAGCTGGAGTAGAATAGACATGATATGGGCTACAAAGACGCTTATAGGGAGAGTCAACAAGATACACATACTACCAAGATACTACTCCGATCATTGTCCAATAGAAATGGAGCTGAACTACAAAAACACCAGGAAAAAATGGAGATTATGTGAAAACTTACTGAGAAGAGAAGACGACATTAAGAAAAATCTGGAGCTGGTAACAGAATTCTTTGAATTAAACAACACTGGGGATGTTCCAAGAGCAGTAGTATGGGATACCAGTAAAGCATACATGAGAGGGTTGTTTATTCAACAAAATAGCAAGAAATATAAGGAAAAAAAACAGATGGAGATAGACCTAGAAGAAAAAATAGTGAAAACCGAAAAAACCCTTAAAAAACATCCTAAGAATAAGAAAATCAAATTAGAACTAAATTTACTTAACAAACAAAAGGAACATCTAGAATTAGAGCAGATGGCACGTAATCTATCATATGTAAAACAGGACCATTTCCAAAATGCCAATAAGGCGGGGAAATGGCTATCCAGGAGAATCAAAAAGAGAAAAACTGAACAAAATATCCCCCAAATCCAGGAAGAAAATAAGATATATACAAAAAACGAGGAAATTCTAGCTCAATTTCATAGCTTTTATAAAAACCTATATTCAAGAGACCCGATAAGCAGAGAAAGTATCAACGATTATTTGGGGAAGCACAATCTAGAAAGGTTATCAGAAGCACAGAGGGAGGCCTTAAATAAAGACATTACAACAGAAGAGATAGAGAAGGCGATTAAGAGTTTAGATCCTAGAAAAACACCGGGACCTGACGGACTAGGTATGCTTTACTACAAGAAGTTAAAGGAAAGCTTGGTTCCTCATCTGAGAACACTGATGAATGAGATACTCCAAACTGGGAAAATGCCTGACTCCTGGAGGGAGGCTAACATAGTTATGATTCCTAAAGAAGGCACGGACCACCTTAGTGTTAAAAATTATAGACCGATATCGCTTCTTAACAACGACTATAAGATTTTCACTACAATATTAGCGGACCGTCTAAAAGGCTTCTTAACATCATGGGTAAAGGAAGAACAGACGGGGTTTCTGCCAGGGAGAAGGATGAAGGACAACATAAGAAACATCTTGAATATTATAGAATATTGTGAAAGTCATCCTCAAAAAGAATTGGCGATCTTATCAGTGGACGCGGAGAAGGCTTTCGATAGCCTTAACTGGTCCTTCTTCAAGTCAATATTTAAAGAGCTAGATGTGGGTCACAAGTTCCTAAACGCTTTAGAAGCAATATATACTGACCAGTCAGCAATAATAAGAGTAAACGGACAGGACTCGGAGAAGCTAGCTATAGAGAAGGGAACTAGACAGGGTTGCCCCCTGTCGCCCCTAATTTTTATTCTATCTCTCGAAATACTTCTGAACGAAATCCGAGATGACAGCAGCCTGAAAGGGGTGAACATTCAGAAAGAAACGTACAAACTAAGGGCTTTTGCCGATGATTTAATTTGCACAATACAGGAACCACTAAAAAACATCAAGCTGTGGTTAAGAAAGTTAGAGGAATTCGGCAAAGTCTCTGGCTTTAAAATTAATAAACTAAAAACTAAATTACTTACAAAAAATATCACTAGGGAAAGAAAGGAAACATTGACAGAGATGTCGGGTCTACAAATAACATCAAAACTTAAATATTTGGGCATATACATAACGGCCAAAAATTCACAACTCCTAAAAAACAATTATGAAACAAAATGGAAGGAAATAAAGAAAGATCTGAAAGAATGGCAATCTATAAAACTTTCACTATTGGGTAGAATCTCGGTAATTAAATCAAATGTCCTCCCTAAAATGCTTCATTTATTTCAAAATATCCCCATTGTTAGAAAGATTCAGTTGTTCAAGGATTGGCAAAGAGACATCTCGAAATTCGTCTGGAATAATAAAAAGCCCAGAATTAACATCACAAACATGACTGACGAAAGAAGGAGAGGAGGTTTAGGCTTACCAAATTTAAAATTATATTTTGAAGCTAGTTGTCTAGATTGGATTAAAGAATGGATATTGCTAAGAGACAAAAAATTACTACTCCTAGAAGGCCACGATCTAAGAACTGGGTGGCACGCCTACTTATGGCATAACAAGGCGAAGGTGGAAAAAAATTTTAGAAACCATTTCATCCGGGCCGCCCTTCTTAAAGTATGGGACCAGTATAAAGATAGGATGTACCCTAAAACACCACTCTGGGTATCCCCCCTTGAAGCCCATCAAAGGAGGGAGCTGGGCTGGAACCAATGGCCAATATATAAAGATCTGCTGTTTAAGGAAAGAAGGTCATACAGAATTAAAACGCTAGAAATGCTAAAAGAACAATATAAAAATATGACTTGGCTCCAGTACTGGCAATTAACAGAATATGTCAAAAAAGATAAAGAAAAAGGTTTCATGGAGTCTCCATCAGCATGGGATAGGCTTCTAGATAGCCCCAGAAAGTACATAACAAAAGCTTACAAACTCCTTCTAGAATGGGCCACAGAGGAAGAGAGGGTCAAAGAATACATGGTCAAATGGGCCAGGTTAATAGGTCGCTCAATATCCCTAGAGGAATGGTCCGGGATATGGAACACAAAAACAAATTATTCGTACTCTTACTATATTAAAGAACAATGGGTGAAAATGGTCCATCAATGGTATCTCACACCATCTAAGTTAGCCAAGTTTTCCAAACATGCATGTAATAAATGCTGGAAGTGCGGGGRAGAGGAAGGGACATACAAACATATGTGGTGGTCCTGCGAGAGAGTACGAACGTTCTGGAAAATAATACAACAGAAGTGCCAAAACATTCTAAAAAAAAGTATCCCACTAAAACCAGAACACTTTCTGTTAGGATTAACGGAGGGGTTATGGGAGAAAGAGACGGATAAACTCTTCTCATATCTTATCGTGGCAGCGCGTCTCTTGTTGGCCAAGGTCTGGAAACAAAGAACTTTGCCAACGGAGGAAGAATGGACAGAGAAAGTAATTGAGATGATGAATGTGGACCACCTAACGTACATCTTATCGGCCTCAAGAAACACGCCGGTACTCCCAACGAATTGGACACCCGTTAAAGTGTGGCTAAGGGAAAGCAACATAAAATGGATGCTGAATTAATTCCCCTGTTTGACAGATAGAGAGGACAGTTCAAGAGAGGCTGTAGTAGCAAAATAAAATAGCTGGGAACTGGCCAGTAGGTGGAATAGGAGCAAGAAGGAGAGAAGTAGGAAAATAGAGAGGAAGATGATTCCAGAAAATTAGAAAATAGGAGAAAGCGCCGTTAGGCAAGCAAAGAAGATAGGACTTATCCATTGTAAAGAATTAAAGTCAGATACATATCAGTATGAATGAAATAAGGGATAACAGGTTAGGGCAGGATAGGAAGATGCAGAAACATGTAAGGTAACAGAATTTAACACCTATAGAAACAGATAAGGAATACCGTAGCCAAGAGAGAAGGAGGTCCAACGCCGTAATGGGCAGAAGTTTTTTAAATATAATTGTAGTCTATGTGTATGGTAAGCTAGGTGAGTGTTAGGAAACGGTATCGGATGAGTTTAGGATGAGTTAAGAACGTAGCATGAGGAAACCAATGTCTCAGTGAATGTATTTATCAATGTATTTGTCGATGTATGTTTTTTCTATGTATATTTATAATAATAAAAAATTAAAAAAAAAAAAAAAAAAAAAACCTACAACAACCCATAAGGTTTTTCTTCAACACACACACACACTTGGTCCTGCTACAACTTACTATAACAAAACCGTCAGGCAGAGTCCCACATTGTCCCCTTACCATCACACGTGGTTTCCTATCTGTCACCAGCTTGGTCCCACACTATCCCTGGCTTAGTCAATGAGAACACAGGTGATTGCTAGTTTTCTCAGGGCAGCCTTTCAACATACTGCTGAGACACATCCAGGAAGGAGCCAGGCCCGAGCCCTGCCAGAAGTAGCCCTGTGTCATGTGATGGGCTTTGTCAGGCTCCGTCCTGGCTATGTCTCTTTCCTAGGACATGTGATGAATCATAGAATCATAGAATCAAAGAGTTGGAAGAGACCTCATGGGCCATCCAGTCCAACCCCCTGCCAGAAGCAGGAATATTGCATTCAAATCACCCCTGACAGATGGCCATCCAGCCTCTGCTTAAAAGCTTCCAAAGAAGGAGCCTTCCACCACACTCCGGGGCAGAGAGTTCCACTGCTGAACGGCTCTCACAGTCAGGAAGTTCTTCCTCATGTTCAGGTGGAATCTCCTCTCTTGTAGTTTGAAGCCATTGTTCCGCGTCCTAGTCTCCAAGGAAGCAGAAAACAAGCTTGCTCCCTCCTCCCTGTGGCTTCCTCTCACATATTTATACATGGCTATCATATCCCCTCTCAGCCTTCTCTTCTTCAGGCTAAACATGCCCGGCTCCTTAAGCCGCTCCTCATAGGGCTTGTTCTCCAGACCTTTTATCATTTTAGTCGCTCTCCTCTGGACACATTCCAGCTTGTCAATATCTCTCTTGAATTGTGGTGCCCAGAATTGGACACAATATTCCAGGTGAGGTCCCCAGTGAAGAATTTACTGTGAACAATTTACTGTGGTGCTACTCGATTTCATAATGCTATGCCTTGATCATCTGGAAGGCTTTTTGTATCCAAGAATATCAAGTGACATTTTGTCTCATTTTTCAGTATTGTCAAGGTATCATTTCAAAGTACTTCAAATCATGTAAAACTGTTGGCAAGCTGTACCATGAATATGAAAGACTATGCACTGAAGAATACTGCAAAACTGGAAGTGGAATGGACGTGTGCAGTACACTTCTTGAATTAGCCAGAGAATGTTCATCTGAAGGCTCTGGTCCATTTGAAGCATGGAGAAGAGATCCTGATGTGGTTTGTGGTATGCCTTGCCTTGTTGATCATCTTGGGGTGGACAACAAAGAAACTTGGATTTTGAGGAAGAGATAAAGATGGGGAATAGTTCTTCGGTGTGGAACATTACTCCCTTTCTCCCTTTCTCACATGTGGGAAAGTGTCACGGCATGGCTTTTCCCCATGCTGGCCATGTGTTCCTAGTGCAGCGTTGTAGGTCGCTTGCACCCCAGTTGAGCCACGGAGCCCAGCCAGAAATGATCCTGTGTCATCTGATGGGTGGCATGGGGCTCCATTGCTCAACTGGGGTGAAAATGTCCTACAGTGCTGAAAACACGAAGGACTTGTTTTAGGGATCACGATGGAAAACAATCTCTCATGGATTGTATGTAGATCTGAGCTACTCTCTCACTGTGAGTGGCAGGTTCATCAACTAATATTCTCCATTTCTCACATGCATATCATACGAGGGTTGAATTAAAAGTAATGCCTCCACCTTCGTAACTCCTCAACAGATGGCAGTATTGGTAAGCGTCAGGTACTAGCTTGTCCAGTAGACTCTCCTCTACAGTTCCATTTTGGCTGGAAGCCTTAGCATTGAATGGTTGTGTTGTTAAAGTGCGGAATATGGAACCCTGCACAGATGGTCGGTCAATGCGACTTAAGCAACGTGCAGTAATTGAATTCTTGACAGCAGAAGGTGTCACTCCAAAGGAGACTCATCAGACAATGCAAGCTGTTTATGATGATTGTGTTGCATCGTTGGGCAAGTAAGTTTAAAGATGTTGAAGTGGGAAGATCTGACTTGTGTGAGAAACAAAGAGTTGGACGTCCTGTGAGAGCAACCAGCGATTTTCACAAGCAAAGAGTTAGCAGATTGATTCAGGACAATCGGCGTATCACTCAGAGAGAAATTTCAAGCATAATCGGCATTTCACAAGAGCGTGTGGGTCACATTATTGCTTTGCTTGAATATCGGAAGATCTGTGCACAATAGGTTGCAGAAGCAGAGTGTCGACTTCTTCCATGACAGCTTCAGAAAACTTGTTCATCGTTGGCAAAAATGTATCCAGTTGTCTGGTGATTATGCCAAAAAGTGAATAGTGGTTGTTAAAGAGCACATTCTAAGGATTATTTCTGCGTTTGATTTATTAAAATATTCCCATCCAAACCCAAGTAACGAAGGTGGAGGCATTACTTTTCATTTAACCCTCGTAGTTATATGTAAAATATCTTCTGATCAAGGATCTCAACTCTCGATAGCTTAAACAGTAGTAGAACCTTTCCCTCTTCTCCCCACCATTACATTAAAGTAAGGAAGAGCATATGAACCAAGCCTTGTTCACATCATGTGAAATCCTTGTTTCAGAGGATCCTCGCACTTAATGTACAGAGCATCATTAAACTAAAACTGAATGGTGGTAATGCAAAATGTTTTTGTAGTTTTTTAAACAAAATGTATTAATTACAATCTTACACATTTATATTCCAGTTACACCAGCATGTCCAGAATCCAAAATTTACAGAGACTGTGGCCCTTCCAATCAGGCAACATGTTCTTATATGTCTGTTTACCAAGATGCCGGATGTGTGAGTGGCTGTGTATGCCCAGAAGGTAACGACAGTATTCCGAAAGTTTCGTTGATTAGCAGCACTGTAAGAATTCCAGTAGTCAAGTTGCTATTCTCTGTGCTGTACAGAAATAATTTTATTTTGATGTCAGCCCCGAGGCAGCTGTTTCCTGGCAGTGAGTATTTCAGTCCAAGTGAATCAATGCGAGGAGGAATAGGTCTCATTTTAACTTTATTTGTACTAAGTAGCTGGGATCTGCTGTAGCCACTTCTTCTCTTAATGAAAGAAATTCTATGGAGAACTCACTCACTGTCTATATGAGGATAGGAACTAATTTGTGAGCATCTACAAACTTGAAATATTTTGTCTGCTCAACAGGGATTGAGTTATAACAATTAGTAAACCTTAATTTTGAACAGTGAAGTTGTCATTTTCTCAATAACTATGTAGCCTAATTGGAATTCAGTTTATGTCTAATTATACTTGCTCACTGTCACGATTTTTATTGCATTCATCATTTCTGTGACCTCTCTGTGCTTTTTTTTGTATGTGAGGTTTGAGCTGTGAGCTTCATATTTAACATTGTATTCACATTGCGTATACATGGATATATGCATAAAGACTGTAACTTAATGGTAGAGGACCTCCTTTGCATCTCAGTCTCTGGTAGTGCTATATACATGGAACACAAAAAAATACTTCATTTGAAATATTTCCAATTGGTGTCAATTACTGTAAAAGAAATAGATTAAACAAACAGTTATGGTACAGATTGCAAAAAGAGGGATGATTAGCACTCTCTAATATTAAAAAAAATATTATGAAGTGAGCAGATTAAGATTGGTTATAGAAAGAATGATAAAAAAGAGGGTGTAGATTGGCTAAGAAAGGATTTGGAGAAAGTGGAGGAAGAAATTTGGAATATATTAGGTTCTTGTGGGTTTTTTCAGGCTATATGGCCATGTTCTAGAGGCATTTCTCCTGACGTTTCGCCTGCATCTATGGCAAGCATCCTCACCTCGGAGGATGCTTGCCATAGATGCAGGCGAAACGTCAGGAGAAATGCCTCTAGAACATGGCCATATAGCCTGAAAAAACCCACAAGAATCTAGTGATTCCAGCCATGAAAGCCTTCGACAATACATTGGAATATATTTTTTAAACAGTTTACGAGAAAAGAAACTAGGGAAATTAGGAACCCAATGCTGAGCAATATATTAGAAGTATGGAACAAATATAGGAGAATATTAATAACGGATGGTTCAGTAATAACCCCAATTGTAATGGAAAAGAAATTGTCCACTTGTCTTCCCAAGAGATTTGCAGGATTTTTCAGAGGCAATGCTGATGGAATCGTTCTAGGAGTTGCATGTGACATCTGTAGATAGTCCACGTCTCGCAGGCGTATAGCAGGGTTGGGAGGACAATAGCTTTATAAACAAGCACCTTGGTATCCCTATAGATGTCCCGGTCCTCAAACACTCTCTGCTTCATTTGGAAAAATGCTGCACTCGCAGAGCTCAGGCAGTGCTGTATTTCAGTGTCAATGTTGACTTTTGTGGAGAGGTGGCTGCCAAGGTAGCAAAAATGGTCAACATTTTCTAATGTTACACCATTTAGCTGCATTTCTGGCATTGGAGAGGGATTGGCTGGTGACTGCTGGAAGAGCATTTTGGTTTTCTCAATGTTCAATGACAGGCCGAGCTTCTCGTATACTTCTGCAAAGGTGGCTTGTAGGTCTTCTTCTGAATGCACACAGCTGACATTGTCTTCAGCATACTGGAGTTCTATAGCAGATGTTGTAACCCTGGGTTTGGCTTTCAGTTTGCTTAGGTTAAATAGCTTGCCAATTGTCCGATAGATGATTTCTACTCCGGTGGGAAGCTTCCCATCAGCAAGATAAAGTATCATAGCGATGAAGATGGAAAATAAGGTTGGGGCAATAACACATCCCTGTTTGACACCTGATTCCACCTTAAATGGGTCACTTTGGGAGTCATTGCTGTCCAAGACTGGTTTAGTAGGGCTGGAGTCACTACCATTTCAAAGAACCACATCGGATATTATTACATGGCTGTATTTTTTTTAGGTTATGTGGTCGATGACATTGGAGAAAATGGCAAATGTATTAAGAAAAGAAAATGTGCTTGCAAATTTGATGGAAAAGTATACAGACCAGGTGAAAAGCGGAAAGGTCCTTGTAATTCAGAATGGTAAGCATTAATGGTATTCCATACATTTAAAACATCAATGTGCAGCATGTAAAGTGGAGGTGGGTAACATCTAATCTGGGGCTGCATATTGGTTTATGTGATACATAACATGAGGCCATCTAATCAAGACATCCTTTTTTTCTCTGCTGTGAGTCAGACTGCCTCCTTTCCCTTAGCCTGACCTAATTTGATTTTTGACTTTGGATGGCCACAGAGTTGCCAACTATCTTCCAGGGACATTAGCTCGTAAGTCACATTTTTTGGAGTCAACCCCCAAGAAAACATCTCTCATAATGCCTAGTACCTGCCCAGAAACTAAAAACCATGTCATTTAACATGACATCCATCAGAACAACTGATTCAGTTTGGCGATCTGTCAAATTAGGGACAGCATGTCTGTTTCTGCTTAAGGCCACAGTGTCATTGAACTTCTATGGCAAATTAATTGTAAAATAAATGTTATTTATTGGCCAAGATCCTACACTGTGTCTACCAATGTTTCGTCTCCAAATTTCATCTTGTCAGCGGTTCAGCCCACTCTCAACATAGCTTTTTCTATGTTGTTGGAGAACACGGCTTCAGTGGGGATAGATCCAGCTCAGCAATAGTCTGAGACCTCTGAGTTACTTCATGTTGTCATGAGCTATCTCTTTAAGGTGCCCAATTCTCAGCAAGAATAGAGTTGGAAACTCACAACAAAAGGTGTAACAATAAACAAAAAAGGTATTTAATTGTATTGAAGATCAGTATCCTAACTTCTCCCTGGGTCTAACTAACATACAATTACTTGAAGGAACAGATGGAACTGAGTTTCTCTTGATTTCTTCCAAACCGATCTTCTTTCTAGCCTCTTTTCTGTGTCCTTTATCTGGCTTTGACTTCTGTTAACACCTTCTGTAAATAATAATAATAATAATATAATAATAATAATAATAATAATTCTTTAACAGAATAATAATAATATAATTACATTATTGTTGTTATTATATTTTTTTAATTATTATTATTATTATTATTATTATTATTATTATTATTAAAAACTCTAAAATTAAAACAGCAAAACAGCAGAGGGAAAACAATCTGGGACATCTAATCACCTCTCAACAAGACATTGCTCCAGGCACTGTCAGGCAATCAAATGCTAATCAAGGTGGTCAGTTGAAACATTCACACCTAGCTCCAGCAGACAAGAGTCCTTTGTCCCACCCTGGTCCCACAGATATATAAACCCTTTTTCCTAGTTCCAACAGACCTCACTACCTCTGAGGATGCTTGCCATAGATGCAGGCGAAACGTCAGGAGAGAATGCCTCTAGAACATGGCCATATAGCCCAAAAAAACCTACAACAACCCATTATTATTATTATTATTATTATTATTATTATTATTATTATTAGGTGCCTAAAGAACTTGGCTTGCACTTAAACACAATCGGTGCTGACAAAATTACCATCTGCCAGCTGCAGAAGGCCACCTTACTGGGATCTGCACGCATTATTCGCTGATACATCACACAGCCCTAGACACTTGGGAAGTGTCAGACATGTGATCCAATACAACAGCCAGTAGAGTGTCTGCTATGGACTCATCTTGTTGTGTTTCAAATAATAATAAGAATAATAATAAGAATAATAATTTATTTCTAGATCGCCCTCTTTCCTCTGAGGGACTCAGGGCAGTTCACACAAAAAAGGGCCAACATTCAATGCCTCAAATTGGGCAAAAACGTAGCAAAATAATACAGGATAATGGATTTGTTAGGTTCTTGTGGGTTTTTTCGGGCTATAGGGCCATGTTCTAGAGGCATTTCTCCTGACGTTTCGCCTGCATCTATGGCAAGCATCCTCAGAGGTAGTGAGGGCTGTTGGAATTAGGACAATGGGTTTATATATCTGTGGAATGGCTGGGGTGGGGCAAAGAGCTCTTCCCTGCTGGAGCTAGGTGTGAATGTTTCAACTGATCACCTTCATTAGCATTTGAAGGCCTGGCTGAGCCTGGGAAAATCCCCTGTTGAGAGGTGTTAAGATGTGCCTGGTTGTTTCCTCTCTGCTGTTTTGCTGTTGTAATTTTAGAGTTTTTAATACTGGTAGCCAGATTTTGTTCATTTTCATGGTCTCTTCCTTTCTGTTGAAATTGTCCACATGCTTGTGGATTTCAATGGCTTCTCTGTGTAGTCTGACATGGTGGTTGTTGGTGTGGTCCAGCATTTCTGTGTTCTCAAATAATATGCTGTGTCCAGGCTGGTTCATCAGGTGCTCGGCTATGGCTGACTTCTCTGGTTGAAGTAGTCTGCAGTGCCTTTCATGTTCCTTGATGCGTGTCTGGGCGCTGCGTTTGGTGGTCCCTATGTAGACTTGTCCACAGCTGCATGGTATACGGTAGACTCCTGCAGAGGTGAGAGGATCCCTCTTGTCCTTTGCTGAGCATTTGTTGGATTTTCTTGGTGGGTTTGTAGATTGTTTGTATGTTGTGTTTCCTCATCAGCTTCCCTATGCGGTCAGTGGTTCCCTTGATGTATGGCAGGAACACTTTTCCTCTGGGTGGATCTTCATCTTTACTCTCGTGGCTTGTTCTTGGTCTTGCAGCTCTTCTGATGTCTGAGGATACTCCATTTCCCCCAGCATCATTATCTTTTCCAAACTTTCCTGTTGTCTCATTTTGTGGCCAATGGTCTTAATCTTTGTCTCTACTATCCTTCCCTCCAGTGAGCAGTCGGGCTTTATTTCCTGAAGTATGGACTGGCTGGATTTCTCGCAGTCCAAGGCACTCTCCGAACTTTCCTCCAACACCACAGTTCAAAACCATTTATCTTCCTTTGCTCAGCCTTCCTTATGGTCCAGCCCTCACATCTATAGGTTGCTAAGGGGAGTACCATTGCTTTAACTATGCAGATCTTCGTTGCCCGTGTGATGCCTCTACTCTTCACTATTTTATCAAGATTACAAAGTTTCTAGGAGGTCTTCACCTTCAAGAGTCTGTTTCCGGATTAATTTCAACTATAGTTCTTTGCTTATACAAGGCACATACCCGTTTCCCCCTAGAATCACCCCTAAGTGCGCTTGTAATGACCAATAAAAACCATTCATTCAGGAAACAAATTCTGTCATTAAGATACACTATCTTTGAAAAAATATATTTGGCAAAGCCTTAGATATTTTCATGATATTAAAAATGACTCAGATAGTAATAGTTACATTTGTGCTTGACCTTTTCTGCAGTGTGTTCCGGGATTCTGTTTTTCTCATTTCTGATCTGTAGCTAAAGAGTGTAAAGTCTTACCTTTGCCTACAGTAAGCAATCACTTTCTTTCATCAGTAAAGAAAGCCTGGAGGCTTTGGACTAGAAGCCCAAAGGGAAATAGAGTATCAGCACGCTATTTCCCATAATGATCGGATGTTATTTAAAATCATTTTGTTTTAAAAAGTATCTGCGATGCAGGGTTATTGCTTTTTTTTCTGACAGAAGATGGCACAAACATTTTCCTGGCTGCTCCTTTCAGTGCCTGATCTTGGTTGTAGTAGAGTTGTTAATTTGGCACAGTGTTTCCCAAGTGTTGGTCTTCAAGATATTTTGGATTTCAGCTCCCAGAATTACTGACTGTTGGCCAACCGGGATTGGGGCTTCTAGGAGTAGAAGTTCAGAAAAGCTGAAGAACCAATATTTAGGAATTACTGGTCCAATGGATACCAAAGCTAAAATTTCTCATCAGCTTAAATAGCAGCTTGTCATGTTTAGATTTTAAAATGGGGTTGGAAATTGTACTTCATAATCCCTATGAGCCATCTAGGTCTCTAAGATCGTCTGGGGAGGCCCTGCTCTCGATCTCGCCTTCTTCACAGATGTGACTGGCGGGAACATCTGCGAAGAAGGCGAGATCGAGAACAGGGCCTCCCCAGACGATCTTAGAGACCTAGATGGCTCATAGGGATTATGAAGTACAATTTCCGACCCCATTTAAAAATCTTCTTTGCAGATGTCTGGCGGGAACAGGAGCCCCCGGTGGTGCAGTGGGTTAAAGCCCTGTGCCAGCAGGACTGAAGACCGACAGGTCACAGGTTCGAATCCGGGGAGAGGCGGATGAGCTCCCTCTATCAGCTCAAGCTCCTCATGCGGGGACATGAGAGAAGCCTCAAGGATGATAAAACATCAAAATCATCCGGGTGTCCCCTGGGCAACGTCCTTGCAGCCAATTCTCTCACAACAGGACACTCCTGACACAACAAAAAAAACTGGCAGGAACTAGAGACAGGGCCTTCTCAGCGGTGGCTCCTCGGCTATGGAATGTCCTCCCTAGAGATATCAGATTGTCCCCCTCCCTCCTAACATTTTTTAAAAAAGTTAAAACCTGGCTCTTTGAGCAAGCATTCGCAGATGCAGTGTAACAGGTTAATTTAGATCCACGGAACGATTGGACGATGCAACTGGAAAATTATTTTAGTAATGAGACGCTGAGGACTTGTTTTTTATTGTTTTTTATTGTTTTTATATGGTTTATATTATATGTTAATGTTTTAACTATATTTTATGTTGTTGGGGGCATTGAATTATGCCAACTGTGAACCGCCTTGAGTCGCCTTCGGGCTGAGAAAGACGGTATATAAATATGGCAAATAAATTAATAAACAAATTCTTATATGGAATAAGCTATTTATAGTCCCCTTGTTCTTTTTTATTTTCCTTCCTCCTATTTCTCTTTCAATAGCACTTGCAAGGATGCAAAATGGACCTGCACTGAATCCTTATGTCCAGGGCGATGCTCAGTAGAAGGACCTTTCATCACAACCTTTGATGGCATCTCTTACACCTATGCTGGAGACTGTCACTTTGTAGCAATCCAGGTTACTCATCTATTTTTTACATAAAGCTTGCTTCTTTCTGAATGACGCTCCTAAATTCTGTAGCGCATTTAAGATTAATTGGTTTGTATTTTAGCATGAGCTTTCATGGATGTAACCCTACTTCTTCAGATGCAGTGCCGAGTGATATTAAAGCCTCAGGTTAAAAAGCATAGAATGTAATGAGATTCAGAAAGGTGTAAATTATGTCCCTTGCCCTAAATTTCCAAAATATTGAGTGAGGCCTCATGCTTTTCAGCTCTTTACAGTGGTCAACTAGTGTAGATATGTGAAAACAATAAATCTCCTTTCCCAAGATTAAATTTCCCTGGGTTCAAAACTCTCATGGAAAATATTCCTTTTATTATATGTGCAGTAGTGAAGACCCTTGTATTAAGACAGTATATGATGATGATGATGATGAGGATGATGATGATGAGGAGGATGATTTTGTTTCTCCTTCTAATCTTCCTTTGTGGTTTCCTTGTTCAAAGACTCCTTGCTCTATGTCTAGGAAGGCTGAGATAGCTTTATTATTATTATTATTATTATTATTATTATTATTATTATTAAGACTGCTTTGAGTCTTGATCAAGAAAGAAAGGGGTATGATGATGATGATAATGATGATGATGACGGTGATGACGAAGATGACAACATTAGGGTTTCTGGCATTTGAAGACAATGACTTCACAGTGAACTATATATATCAATGCAAGAGTTCTTGCTACTGCACATATAACAAAAGGAATCTTCTCAGAGAAGATTACTGACTACAATAAGTATCTGAAAGATCTGTATCATATTGCCTAATCTCTTGAAAATGTAGGGCAAGAGATCCTAATACATTTATCCTACCCCCACAACTGTCCTAAATTTAGTAAGGTCCCCGATTGTGTAGGGTTTTCAACCTTTTTGGTGTCATGAATGACTTTTCAATAACTTTAGGTTCCTTTTATTGCAATTTCCAGTGTGAGGGAGTATAACAGATTACAGAAAAACATTTAGACAAAGAGTTACATTGGACATACAGACATACAGATTCTATGCAACTACATTGGGTTTACAATTACATAGCTAACAAACAAACAAAGGGGAATTACATTTTCACTCAGCATTCACACCACATGTGCACGCATTCATCCTCAGGCATTCAAATATTACCATATCCTTTTCTCCCTCCTTGGAGAAGCACCTGTTAGGCCAGACCCTGCTTTCCT